TAAATAAAAATAGACAGTTAGCACCACATAAACTTACAAAAAATTTGTATATCTAATATTAGTTTGTATTGTACAAATCCAAAAATAAATTTGTTATTGAAAAACTCGCATAACAAGTTTTCAGTTCCAACTTTGTCCTTAGACTATACCGAGTCACTTTAAACATTGCAAAGAAATGTCTGCAGAACACTCGTTAACACAACACAATGTACTGTACCTCACTTCAGGTTTAACTATTCTTGTGGGGACATTTGGTCCAAACATTGTAGCCAAAACCTGGCACACAAACACACACTCACCCACTCAAAACACTCCCACAATGTGCAAATATTTCATTAACAACCGTGTTTGAGAGTAAACACAATACATTTAGTAAGGACATATTAATCGGTATGTGTACTTGTCCTTTAAGATATATAATTATATGTTGTTCAAACAGTTGGTGGCCACTCCCAATGTAAACCCAGTGTCTAAAGAAGAAAAGAGGAAAGGGAGGAAAGCAAGTGTGCAGACTTGATAAGCTCTTGTGAACTGTGGTTCGAACAGCTGTAGGTCAAACACAAAGCAGAAAAACTCATAAGTACAGACATACTGGTAAGACCAGTTTTAGGGTGTAGAGCTAGAAAACAGTGCCAAGCGGACTTGGTCGTCCTCTTCCTGTTTTGTGCTGCTGAAATTGTTTGCATAGAGGAGCACAGCTGATCAGAGGAGAGAGGTATGATCGCCCGTGTGACGGGGGGAAACAGAATGTGAGAGGAATTAGATTCGCTGTGTGTTTATTGCAGGATGGGGGTATTGATGAGGCTTGTTAGTGTGTATTTGACACAGCACAGACCACTGCAGTTCATTCATTCATTCTAGTACGTCTGAGTCTTTATGTTATATCAGTTTATTAGCCAGTCCTGGACAGAGTCCCAGATGCACATTTTATTACCCACTGCCTCTATATCTGTGTCTCTTTATACCTATAACTACTTGCATATTCAAGTAAATAGTAATAGTTGAAAGTGTTTATATGAAAGAAATGGCAGCATTTTACAGTAGGGTTCAATTTGTTAACATTTGCTATTTATTATAATGAACTAACAATAAACAGCATTTTTTACAGCATTTATTAATCCAAGTTATATTAAAGGACTATTTTGGATACAAGTTAAGCTCAATTGTCAGCATTTGTGCATAATGTTGATTACCACAAAAAATATTTCAACATGTTCCTCAAAATAGAGCAAAAATAGATGTTACAGTGAGTCATTTACAATGAAAGTAAATGGGCTAATATGTGGATGATTTAAAAGCAAAAATATGAGGCTTATAATTTTATAAAAGCACTTACATGAATTCTTCTGTCAATGTGTGTGTATTATTTGAGCTGTAAAGTTTTTCTTCTCATTTCAGCTGTCATTTTAGTGTTTTAAGAGTGTGTTGTCATGTCATCAAAGTTGTAAAATTGAATATAACTTTACTCAGAAAACTGATTATTTTTCACCACACTAAAATCATGTTAATACACATGCTTTTCATGCCTTGTGGCTATACTATTGAAAAAGTATTTTAATGTTTACAGATTGGCCCCATTCACTTCCATTTTAGGATTTTTGCCTTTTTTTTTCTTTTCTTTTTTTTTAAATATACTATTGTTCATTGTTCATTTCTGGTGTAATGTTAACTTGTGTAACTAGAAATGTTCAAATGTATTAGTATATGTAGAAATTAACTTGATAGTTACTGTAATACTTAATATTTTCACTCAGAAATTTCACAAATAATTACAAAGAAACGGCAATTAACAGATTGAATTAAATGTGAAATTTGAAGTAGAAAGATTGAAATAGTATTTTCTTGTAAAACATGCTCCAATAATATTTGTTTTATTTACAACTTTGATAATTATTATTATTTTTTTACAGTGATGGTGTTTTATCTAATATCAGGGACTTTTTATGTCTACAACAGAATATTTTGATGTATTGTGTGCTTCATTGTAATTTGGTTAGAGCTGCAAAAATCCAGGATAGGATGCTAATCTTGTCTGAGACAATAATGGAACTAAAAGGTTGTGGTGGGGGATATGCTCCATCTCTTTATAACCTTACTATGACACTCAGGGCCGTTTCTAGGCATAGGCGAGCTAGGCGGTCGCCTAGGGCACCACCAGCTGAAGGGGTGCCAATGAGCGCATGTACTGGCACTTTTAGCAGGGTTGTGATAAAGAGTGGCATGGTCACCCTGAAATATGACTGCCGCCCCCACTGGATCCCCCAACATTATTGGGCTAGAGTACTGTCAATCTGACGATGCCTGTATGCCACTAGATCAGAGTGCTGTCAATTGATGCCTGATTGTTGCATGCAAAGTTTGCATTTGGAGCGCTCAACAACGCCATTAGATCAGTGGGCTCTGTCAGTGCTTTGGCAAGCTAACACTTTTTTTTGCCATGCAATAAAGCTAAGTTCAAAGGCCAATTTAAAATATTGGTACAGTAAATAAAGTGCACAAAATCAGTATTTTGTTTAGGCAGTATTTGTGGCACTTTTGTGGCACATTTGTCCAAATATTTGTGGCAGATTTGTCCAAAAGGTGTGCGTTTTTTGCGCCAATGCATTGTTAAAGGATCAGCGTGTCATGTAATATTCCCATATAAACTTTAACATCCAATTAAAAAATATTTGTATAGTAAAAATTCGCTAATTCACGAGATCAATACATCCTTTATAAGACCGCTTTGTCAAGTTAAATGCATCCTTACGGAGGTGTCGAAATGCTGAATCAATTCATTCACTTCAGCTGCATTGGTTACTTTTATGCCACTGATAAAGCTTTTATATGTAGTTTAGGGTAACAAAGGGGTTTTATAGGTTTGACTGAAATAATAATGCAATAACTGACACTTTAAATCAATGTTTCAAGAAACAACAACAAAAAAATTGAACAAAAAACAGATAAAGACAAAAAAGTAGCCATTGATAATATCTAAACAATATGTAGTAGTATAGTATATAGTATCCAAATCAAAATGTAATAAAATTAATTTATGTGTGATTTATGTGTAATAGGTTAGGGTTAGGGTTAGGGCAATAGGGATTTCGCCTAGGGCGTCAAATTGGCTAGAAACGGCCCTGATGACACTGCAGGCATAATTTAAGACTATGTACATTTTTTTATCATGTAGCTCTTATGTTTTTATATTTGATTTGATTTGATGTGCTCGCGCAAACAGCTTCAGGCACTTGACTGCTGACTCATGTGAGATTTGTCAATATTCCATATATAATCAAAAAAGGTCAAAAGGTCATTGCATTGCAAAACTTTCAAAGCCTTTCCAAAAATATACACATCCATTCGCCTTGTTCCTTCTACTATGTGTTCCTCTTTAGTAGGAGTTTAAGGAGTTACCCTCATGTGTCCTATTGATGTTGTGGTCTCAGTTCCTCGAGGTTATTTGGGCAAATATGGCTTAGCTGGGCTTTACTCTGTTGACTTTGTGAAGTGAGTTGCCCTTGGATCCATGACAGGTTAAACATTAACCAATCTGGTTTTGCACTTGCATCTGTTACACTCCGTCCGATCATAGGAATATTCTTAAACCCAGGGGATCTATTTTGAACAAATATCAGATGTTTTTCTGGTCGACTGCCTCTTAACTATAGCAGGGGTGCTTTGTCAAGGTAAGAGACTCTGCGTGTAGTAGAAATATTGCGCAAAGTTATCAAGAATAGTTGAGAGTTGTTTTATTATAAGCCCTTCAGGTCTAGACTACAAATTGTGCTCTAAACCTCTATTGCATTTCTTAAATAACTAATAATTAAGCCCTAATGGTTGCACAGCCCATAAATTAAACGCAGCTGTAAAGGTTCAGTAAGTTTGATTTAGAGTGAGGAAGTATTATGGTTTGTTAAGTCTGCATCGAGAAAGAGTCATTTGATGTCATTCACAATGCATTGAGCATATCTTGACCCATGTCACATTCCATATTTATGATATAGCGCTACAAATGTGCAGTGGATTGTGGAGAAGTCTGTAGTTGTTGACTTGGTTTTAGATATGATCAGACTGTGGGGGTTGGGTATGTAGGCTTGAGAGTCCAATATGCATTGGCACGTCTTTAATATGTTTTAAAAAGCATCCCAGAATGGACCTCATGTTCACTGAGGGAATGTCTAGAGTGAGGAGAGCTGGAATCTAGACAAAGGGGGGAATGAAATGAAATATAAGACTGAAATGTAAGATTTGCTTTGTTTTCAAAATAATGCTAAAGTCATTTAGTATATTTTTGTATTTTTAAAGTTTAAAGTTTAGCATTTTAAAAGTATATTTTTGTATTTTTAAAGTAATGTAGTTATTTCGTTTTTCTAATAGCTGTAAAAAAAATCTTATTTTTTAAATTTTATTTTATTTTATTGTGTATTTTATTTTATTTTTATTTTTTTCTTTCTTACATACAATTGAGCATGCTCATTTTACCCATTTTTACTTGTAGATTATCTTGTTAGTGTTCACTTAATATTAATCTTTAAATCTAATAATTCAATAACTCTGTTAAATGTAATATTCCAAATCTCAAAGTAAATATCCACATTTTCATATGTTTTGATGCTCATTTCAATCTGTAGCATTTAAAACAATAATGATTTTGGTTTTTGGTGTGCTTTTTATTATTTATGTAGAAAAAATGTATAGAATTTTAATCTGCCATTTATCTGTTATCAACCATAAAATGAAAATAATTATTGAATTATTAGTATTGGTCATAATTTTAACAACGGTGCAAGTTTTGATGCCTTTATTATTATTTTACAATATAGAAAATAGTAATAAGTAAAAATAAGTTGCCAAAATGTATTAACCTCTGTTTCTTTATTGATTCTAAAATTTCCAGATAATGATAAAAAAAAAGTGGTTTGATGTAAATATCACCACAAAACCACAAATCTCAATTTATGTTTCTTTTCTAGTCGGCAGAGTTCTTCGACATGCTGGAAAAGATGCAGGTAAGATTCCTTCCATCATTCAGATGATCTTATAAGCGCATGTCCTTCTTTAGAATAAGATTCCTCTAATAACAGTATTCCTCAAATAACTTTGTACTTTAGCTGAAGAGCATTTTACTGTATAATAATATAATAATTACTGGAAGGTTTTTTTTTTTTTTTGCCCCTGAGTGCTGGCTAAGTGTTCTCTCTCCAGTGGACCAGTCCTCCATTACTCTGAATGAATAATTACACATTCCAGCTCATTTCAAAGTCATTGATATAGCCAGCACTTTTCTCTTTGGGTTGGGGTTTGGTAGGAGCCCCCCAGGGGAACAGGACATACTGACCTGTTATATAACAGCAGCATGATGGTGTTGTTGTCTGTGAGAGTGTGTAGACGAGGGCTAAAGATCAGCTGATCAATACTGTGTTGAGGCAGGAGTGCAGTGCCTCAGTCGGGTGGTTTTAAAGCTTCTTGTGCAGACCTCAGTATGAGTGACAGATCGATGCAGAGGTTTGTCTGAAGGGCTCCTCTCTCTCTCCAATAGATCACATGCACTTGTGATGTTTTTCTTCAAAGATGATGGTGTGAAGGTGTGTCTTAGTCAGCTCCCTAGTTCTGTAGCATGTACAGTGCCCAGGGCAGGGAATTGGGCCTTTCCTATTATCTTTTTCAGAACAATCCCACAAACTTTTAAGAATTGCACAGGGATAAAATCTGATAAAACATATTTTTAATTTTACATAATATATTTAATTTTATTTGATTTAGAATTTTTGATTTAGAATTTTTTTTATTAAAAACTAGAAATTAATTTACATTTATATTTAAATTAATTACAAATATTAATTTAAATATTAAATAAATAAAATACATGTATTTACAGTGTAATAGATCACATGCACTTGTGATGTTTTTCTTCAAAGATGATGGTGTGAAGGTGTGTCTTAGTCAGCTCCCTAGTTCTGTAGCATGTACAGTGCCCAGGGCAGGGAATTGGGCCTTTCCTATTATCTTTTTCAGAACAATCCCACAAACTTTTAAGAATTGCACAGGGATAAAATCTGATAAAACATATTTTTAATTTTACATAATATATTTAATTTTATTTGATTTAGAATTTTTGATTTAGAATTTTTTTATTAAAAACTAGAAATTAATTTACATTTATATTTAAATTAATTACAAATATTAATTTAAATATTAAATAAATAAAATACATGTATTTACAGTGTTAATGCAATTTATTTTATTAACTTACATACCATTTATTTTTATTTAAAAAAAAATATATATATTTATATTTAAAATATATAAAAATATATATTTATATGTCTAAATGCTATTATGTACATTATCTGTTTAATTTGAATAATGTCATGTAGGACAGTCTCTGTACTTAACATCTAAAATAAAGAGATTGACGTACATACAGTGTTATACAGTAATATTATTGTTATAAATGTTTCCAAGTGAACAAGAGATTCTTCCAAATATTTGTCTTAATTTATCTGAAGTTTTTCCTGGACTGCAGGTGGAAACAATTTATCATGGTAACCACAGTTTTTGACTAAATAACTTGATATTAGCCACCATAGTCATAAAAAAAATAAAAAATAAAAACAATTTAAAATATAAAAAAAACAAACAGGTTCAGAAGACTTTATTGACTGTAAACAAAAAACAAAAATTTGGGGAGCTCATTTGACTACCAGGGTTTAATGTTCTAGTTCAGTGTCCAAACTTTTCCTAAAGGGGGCCGGATTTGGCGATGTGGAAACACTGGGGGGCCGGATGATTCTACCTACCTATATATATATATATATTTATATATATATACAGGGCCGTCCTTAGGGGGGTGCAACTGGTGCGGTCGCACTGGGCCCCGCGCTTGAGGGGGCCCCACGGCGAATGGCGAACTGTAAATATCTTGTTTTTAAAGCTTTAATAATTATAACATAGAATGGCTTTATGGTATTTAGTCTATTAACACATGAAAGCACAAACTGCTAAATATGAAAAATTTATGCTTGGCGGGCCATATATAGGCTAATATATAGACTATTTAAGACAGCTGCGGTCCGCTTAAAATTCATCCACGGGCCGCATTTGGCCCGCGGGCCGTAGTTTGGACACCCCTGTTCTAGTTTGTCATTTATTCTTCCTCTTTTCACTCTCTTCTGCTTACCTGGACACGGCAGAGTCCCAAAACCGAGGAGACTAAGAAATACAAGGTTTGGCTGGTATTCTGAATGTGTGTATGCGTATATTGTGTCTGTAAGTGCATGTTTGTGAGTGGGGTCTTTTCTTCTTCATTAATATTCTGACAAACATCAGCCACAGTCTTGAGTTCTACAGCATCAATCAACATCAATCATTTTGAAGTACTTTTTACATTTAGTGATGTAAAGGTCAGCGATGATGGCCTTCAGATGATGCCAGAGAGTCCAAAAGCAGACTAAAAAACCTTTATATATGATTATTGGAATGCAAGCTGAGAATAATCAGATTTTCTTGCTGCTGCCATTATTTTGATTTTTTTTTTAATCAGTCCTATTCTGGTGTAGATATTATTCCTCTATCCTGCTCTTGGGATTTTTCATTGCAATAAACACACTGTGATACACTGAACAAAATTATAAACGCAACACTTTTGTTTTTGCCCCCATTTTTCATGAGCCGAACTCAAAGATCTAAGGCTTTTTCTATGTACACAAAAGGCCTATTTCTCTCAAATATTGTTCACAAATCTGTCTAAATCTGTGTTAGTGAGCACTTCTCCTTTGCCGAGATAATCCATCCACCTCACAGGTGTGGCATATCAAGATGCTGATTAGACAGCATGATTATTGCACAGGTGTGCCTTAGGCTGGCCACAATAAAAGGCCACTCTAAAATGTGCAGTTTTACTGTATTGGAGTATTATGTATTATTCAGTTTTTGACTAAATAACTTGATATTAGCCACCATAGTCATAAAAACAATTTAAAATATAAAAAAAACAAACAGGTTCAGAAGACTTTATTGACTGTAAACAAAACTTCTTTATTTGGGGAGCTCATTTGACTACCAGGGTTTAATGTTCTAGTTCAGTGTCCAAACTTTTCCTAAAGGGGGCCGGATTTGGCGATGTGGAAACACTGGGGGGCCGGATGATTCTACCTACCTATATATATATATATATTTATATATATATACAGGGCCGTCCTTAGGGGGGTGCAACTGGTGCGGTCGCACTGGGCCCCGCGCTTGAGGGGACCTTACCCCCGGATTGAGGATGTGAGTCCACGAAAACACACACACAGACACACACTTATAAACACACAACAGTTCAAATTAAACATAAAATCAAGCCTAGTTCTATGTACTCTATACTGTTTTGTAATTTAGCACAAGAGAGTTTTCATTATGTTCAAGTGTTTTAAGGTTGGAAGGAACAGATTGTCTCTATTTATCACACGGCTCTCTGGAATACTTGATTTTGATTGGTTAATCAATGCATGTATGTTTGATAATGATTGCTAAGCTGTTGTCCCTGGCAACAAATCTCATACACTGTGCTATTTATTTTTCCATAATTTTATAGGTAGCCATTAGCTTTCATTAATAACTTCAACACTGCTATTGTTAACAGTTAAAGCTATAAATGTAATGAAATTTTGATTAAAATATTTTTCATATAGACATTTGTAATGTTACACAAGATTTCTGTTTTAAATAAATAAAATCTTCAAAAAGATTTTAAAATCTCACTGAACCCAAACTTTTGAGCAGTAGTGTATATTTATATAATAATAATAAGATATATTTACATAATCATAATAAGTACATGAGTTGCTGATCTGCAGGGTTTGTGAATGATTTTATTGAGTTATATAATTGATTATAACTTTTTAAACCAATATAACTTTTATATGTTGATATATGTTGGCTAGGTCTTGGAGAGGGGTGGTCCCTACCCTCAGGTCATTTTACCTCAGTTTGGTGGATATTGGATTGAGGATCCCGAGGCTCTGGTTGGGACGCCCACGTCCTCAGACAGCAGCTTCTGTGAGGAGGAAGATGATGGTCTGAGCCCTGGTGGAGAAGGAGGCTTCAGCTACAGGCTGGAGTGTAACAGCATCTCACGGGCTTACCGCAAACACTTTCTGGGCAATGTGAGGATTCATTTGTTAATGCCGACAGTATGTTTAATTTCTACACTGTAAGTTCACAGGGCCAAAAGTAGCCATAGCTGAAGAAACACCCATGTATTATAATGGGTTATTCTCACCACGGCCACAAAATGCCAGTAAATGCCCTTTTAGCTGAAAGTAAGTATCCTGTCTAAGGTAATGTTTCATGTGCCTGTAGCTTATTTACTCACAGTTCTTCATAACACTTTGATATTAGGTGTGATGGCGCCTCTTTTAACAAACATTTTGTACGGCACTTTTTTGTATCAGTTGTGTGTCACAGAGAGCTTGATTGGAACGACACAGAGCCACACTTGAGTTATAAAAATGCAAACCCAGTCTACTGGAAAATGAAACTCTCCATATTGAAATATGTGAGGAACAAACCTGTGAAATGACGCCTGTGTAAACACCTTTCTCTTTCTCAGGAGCACATGAACTATTACTGCACAGCCAGTAGTATGGGACACCTCATCATGTCTCTGAAGTATGAGGAGGCAGATGGACAGGAGTCTCTCCGCATCATGCTCAGGTGCCATATCCAGCACATATTGAAACTCTGGAATAGTCATTGCAAGATAGGCCTATATTGCCATAGTAAATAGCTGAGCATTTATTTTTATGTCATTTTCTAGGTCAAAAACAAAGACCCTTCATGAGCGAATCCCACTTGAAGGCCTCCTCCAGCTACCAAGTGTACCACAGATAGCCAAAGTGTGTACTGGCAAGATATACAGCACCAGATAAATGTCTTCAAAGCAATTAAATAACACAAATGGAAATGTTGCAGTGGCCAAAGCCGTCTTTTAGATTGTTCCATTGGCTTGATAATAACTGGGATGCTTTGAAGGAGCTCCTATGTATCCTCTTGTTATGTTCCTATGTTCTTGTTGGGAGTTCCTTTATTATCCACTCTAACTCAGCCATTCAGAAAAAAAATAAATAATAAAAATAAAAAAATCAGGGAATTAGGGCCAGATTTACTCAACAGGGCAAATTAGCATGAGAGTGCATTTCCAAAAAAGCGCTAATGGGAGTGGAAATTTCCACAGGTGATTTACTGAATGCGCAAATTAAAGAACACAAACGCAGCCTGATCATTTCCATAATGACCCACACAATCTGCTAAGAGCAGCGCAAATTAGCGTCTGCTTTAAGACTTGCTTTTTTTGAGCGTTAAATAATGGCGCAAATACTAGTAATTTGACAAGCGCAAACGTTAGTAAATCGCGTTGCGTGATTCATTTTAATACTCTCCTCCCATAAATTTTGCGTCTGAAAGGGAAACTCCTACAAATGCATATTCAATAAGGTCAGGGGCAAAATTAACTGTGTCCACGCCTTTTCAGTGCTAATTCTTCACTGCGCGTCTTTAGTAAATCCCGACAGTACTATTTTAACGCCAAAAGACGGTTTGCGTTGGTGCAAGCTGTTAGTAAATCTGGCCCTTAATTTCATGTTTAGTTAAAAGCCACACAATAAATTTGTCTACAAAATTCATTTGGATCATGTAAGTGTGATATTTCAATGAAACAGTCTTTAGGATCATGAGAAACGTGTGCAAACCTATCACTGCCTAGTCAGTCAGTCACTTAAGAGTTAAGTCAATCACTTCTAAGCCGATGTCATGTCTAAAAATCAAGTTCAAATGAGCTTTGCACATCCAAAGAAAAATTTAATAGAAAAGACAATTCTTCATACACTACTGTTCAAAAGTTTGTAGTCGGCAAGATTTTAAACGTTTTTGAAAGACGTCTCTTATGCTCACCATGGCTACATTTATGATCAAAAATACAGTAATATTGTGAAATATTATTACAGTTTTTTGATTGTAATATATTTTAAAATGTAATTTATTCATGTGATGATGAAGCTGAATTTTCATCAGTCATTACTCCAGTCTTCAGTGTCACATGATCCTTCATAAATCATTCTAATAATGCTGATTTGGTGCTCAAATAACATTATTACTATCACGGTTAATGGCAGTTGTGGTGCTTATTTTTTTTGTGGAGACCATTATTTCAGGATTCTTCAGTGAATAGAAAGTTGAACAGATTTTATTAAAAAAATTAAATCTCAGGGGTTTTGTACAAAATTATCACTTTGATCATTTTAATTTATCCTTACTGAATAAAAATATTAGTTTCTTTAAAAAAAAAACATACTGGTCCCAAACTTTTGAATGGTAGTTATAAATTTGAATTCTTTCAACCAACCACCAAAACCCATAGGATTGTGGGATATCATAGGCAGTGAAGGCTACTGGGATTCAAAAATTGGTCAGATGAAGGCATCTTAATAGACTACAATTACATTATGTAGGTCTGCAGTCAACCTTTTAAATTGTATAAGGACACACATTCTCAAAAAATCTCTCTCACAAAGTCTCTCAAGACTTAGCAGACCTCTTTTGAACTTCCCTCAATCCACTCAAAAGATGCGAGATGTTCACATCAGATGTGTTCTGTGTGTTTCAGCTGCTCTGCGATGACGTCACAGGTCTGAAGTTCAACCCCGTCCTCTACCCTAGGGTGAGCATTTCTGTCTTTTTCGCTCCATCTGTGACTTACCTACTCAAGGCAGCAGGGTGAAATAGGGCTGGGCTTTGCTCTGTCTCACCCTAGTACCCAAGTCATCTGAATTAATATGTTCCTGTGCTCCAGGGGAGTCACAAATCCATCTACTTTACACTGCCTGGCATGCCTGAACTACGTTAGTGTGTTTGAGAGAAGCCTTGACCATCTCAAGGCTGTGCATGGTCTGTCAGGCATGGCAAACACAAACGCCTGAATTATGGAAAGGCACTGCCACACATATTTACCCCTGTGGGCGCTTTCTCTCACTTTCTGTTTTCTCTTGCCCAAGGCCTCGCAACTGATCGTCAGTTTTGATGAGCACGAAGTAAACAACACTTTCAAGTTTGGAGTCATCTATCAGAAGTTTGGTCAGGTGAGAGAGTCAGTCTTGAGTTGTTGTCTTCATTGTACATACTTTGACTGAAGTTCTCGCTCTTTTTCTTCGTTTCCCACTGGTATTGTCTCTTCACATCAGACAACAGAGGAAGAGCTGTTCGGTAACAATGAGGAGACGCCAGCCTTTACTGAATTCCTCAGTGTTTTAGGAGACAATATTGAACTGCAGGATTTTAAAGGGTGAGAGATGGAGATTAAGCGCTGAAAACTGCTGCCAAGGTTCACCTGTGCTCACATAAAAGGCTTGTTTTAATATGAAACAATATTCAAAGAATCCATTTGTGGATAATTTATTTAATTTACTCATTGTGAATGATTTTGACTGGAAGCCTGTTTGAGGTAATCAGACTGATCTACCTAAGCGGTGCTTCTGCAGAACTAATTTGTCTGGTGTGTGTGGTATTGTGTTGCTCAGGTTCAGAGGCGGTCTGGATGTGTCTCATGGACAGACAGGATCAGAGTCTGTCTATACTACGTTCCGTCAGAGAGAAATCATGTTTCACGTTTCTACAAAACTCCCTTTTACAGAAGGAGACATTCAGCAGGTGGGCTACAAAAATCCAGATGATTTTTACTTTTTTAACGGCATAGTTCACCCAAAAATGAAAATTGCTTCATGATTTACTCACCCTCAAGCCATCCTAGGTGTATATGACTTTCTTCTTTCAGACGAATACAGTAAGAGTTATATTTAAAAATGTCCTGGCTCTTCCAAGCTTTATAATGGCAGTCAATGGGTGTTAAGATTTTGAAGTCCAATAAAGTGCATCCATCCATCATAAAAGTACTCCACTCGGCTCTGGGGGGTTAATAAAGGCCTTCTGAATCGAATCGTTGTGTAAGAAAAAGAGAGTGGCATTCTAGTGTATGACATTGGACCGCATGTACGACAGTTGGTGCAAGCTAGAGATTATGGTTTATAAAGTTTTAAATATGGATATTTTTCTTACACGAATATAACTCCGATTATATTTTAATATAACTCTAATTGTATTCATCGGAAAGAAGAAAGACACATACACCTAGGATGGCTTGAGTGTGAGTAAATCAAGGGCTAATTTTCATTTTTGGGTGAACTATCCCTTTAATGTAAATTTTTTAAAATATATTATTTCATTTTTAGTTAAACTTTTTAAATCTAACATGTAATATTTAAATATTATGTAATTATTTAATATAATTGATTCATTTTATATTTTCATTTTTATCTTTATTTATTTTTTAATTTGTCAAGGTTTTCATACACACTTTAGATCATATTTCACTCTAAAATCAACAGGAAAAAAAATCTTCACAAATCCCTTCCAAATCTTAATTATTGTAGTGGACAGTTATGACTTTAATTATGACTGTTTTCTTTTTGTTTGTTTTTTAAATTAGCAAAAATAAAAGATATTTAAAGATATTACCGTGATGTAAAAATACTATACAGTTAAAAAAGTCTATTATTGTTTTGTGTTACGGTAATGAGATATATTTGCATTACCGCATTGACAACCGAGGAGAAATGTACTTAATGAAATTCACATTGTAAAATAATTTAAGTGTTTTAAAAATATAAATATAAATAAAAAAGTGCAAATATTAATTATTTATATTTTTAGAATATCATATTTCTAAATATTAATAATCTATGTATGTTGATCTGGGCTAAAAATGTGTTGGTAAATCCATTGCATTCAAAATATTTATAAATATTTTCCTCTTGTGTCATAATCTCTCAGCTCCAGAGGAAGAGACATATTGGCAATGACATTGTCGCAGCCGTCTTCCAGGAAGAGCCCACACCATTCGTACCTGATATGATCGCATCCAACTTCCTTCATGCCTACGTATTAGTGCAGGCGGAAAACCCCTGCACTGATCACACCACGTACACGGTTTGTCAAACACCTCACTGAATTACTCCAGATGCCCATCAATCCCATCAATCCCGCTGATCTGAGATATTGATCATGTTCACAGGTGTCCATCACAGCGCGCGAGGATGTCCCTCCGTTCGGCCCCCCTCTTCCAAACCCTTCTGTCTTTAAGAAGGTAACATTAAAGATTGCTTCAGTTAAATGTTGTAGGAGATGATAATTTGTGTCATAAGATGATGGAGATCGACACTTCCCCAGGGTCCCGAGTTCCGGGAATTTCTCCTGACAAAATTGATCAACGCAGAAAATGCATGCTGCAAGTCAGACAAGTTCGCCAAGCTAGAGGTGAGAAAAAAGATCCTGAGATTAAGGATTCACTATAGTATAAACAATTGATTTGAAGGAATAATCACCCAAAATATGAATATTCTGTCATTATTTACTAATACATTTTCATTTTGGGGTGAGCTATCGCTTTAATTAGTCTATCTGAATCATTGTCGTTCTGTGTGTGTGTTTGACAGGAGAGGACACGGGCAGCACTGTTAGATAACCTTCACGATGAACTGCACAGACAGACACAGGCCACAGTAGGACTGGGCTCAGCTACAGATGAAGAAAAGCTAGAAAATGGAGGTCATGGAGGGCTGCTGGAGTCTTTTAAGGTGAGATGTCTTGTCCTTGACCACTTAAAAACCCAGAGAACTAAAGATTTTACTAAATGATGTTGCTCTTTGGCTTTGTTCTGTTCAGAAAAGTATTCTCAATTCCCTCTCAAATATAAAAAAATAAAATATTCTACAGTATGTACTACCAATCAAAATTTTGGGGTCAGTAAGATTTTTTAAAGGAATTAATACTTTTATTCAGCAAGGATTCTTAAGTGACAATAAAGACAAATAATATTACAAAAGTTTTCTATTTCAAACAAATGCTGTTCTTTTGAACTATCTATTCATCAAAGAATCCGGAAAAAAATGTATCATGGTTTCCACCAAAATATTAAGCAGCACAACTGTTTTCAACACTGATAAAAAGAAATGTGGCCCCACTTTATATTAAGTGGCCTTAACTGCTATGTACTTACATCAAAAATTAAGTACAATGTACTTATTGTGTTCATATTGTATTGCAAAACACTTTTGCTGCTATTGAGGTGGGATACGGGTAAGGCTAGGGACAGGTTTGTTGGTATGGGTAGGTTTAAGGGTGGGTTAAGGTGTAAGGGATGGGTCAACTGTGTAATTATAAATGTAATTACAGAAATTAATTACAGATGTAATTACATGCAGGTATTTTTAAAATATAAGTACAATGTAAAAACATGTTTGTACACAATAAGTGCATTGTACCAAATTATTAATTTAAATGTAAGTACATAGTTGTTAAGGCCACTTAATATAAAGTGGGTCCAGAAATGTTTCTTGAGCAGCAAATCGGCATATTATAATGACTTCTGAAAGATCATGTGACTCTGAAGACTGAAGACTAATTCAGCATTGCCTTCACAGGAATAAATTACATTTTTAAATATTTTAAAATAGAACACAGTTATTTTAAATTTTGTAATAATATTTCACAAAATGACTAATTTTACAGGTTTTCAAATAGATGCAGCTTTGTTGAGCATAAGAGACTTCTTTCATAAATATTTAAAAATCATTCCAACCCCAAACTGTAATGTTAGGACTTCTATTGAAAACACAAACTTAGCTTGAAATATCTTTTTAATCAATAGATGCTGCCTTGGTGATCATAAGAGACTTCTTTAGACAGCATTACTGAGCCTAAACTTTTGAACAGTTATGTGTATTGACAAAGTTTTTAACATCTGGTTTTGAATATAATTTTTGTGTAGGACACAAATGGTACACAGTAATGGCACTGCTAAAACTTTTCCTGTTTACTTGTCTATCTGTCTGTGTGCATGTGATCCTGTCTGTCTGGATATTAAAATGTATGAAACTGAGCTGCTCTGGACTAAGCTCTTAGAAGGCCTGTGTGTGTGTGTTTGGGACTATATGGATGATTTTGCCGTGTGTGGGTGTTTTCAGGCAGGGTGGAGGTGTGTGTGGGGTGGTTTGCAGACACACCACCTACTGGTTGTTCATGGTAATACAATTCAGTTTTCCTAACTTCATCATCGTTATTATGGCTAGTTTTAGGGCTAATATAAACAATTAATAAAAATATGTATAAAATTATAAAATAAATAAGTAATTCAAAATAAATTATTGGCCAGCTAATATAAATAATGTACATATAGCTAAACCTTAAATAAACTGTGACATAGGTTCTTATTTCTTCTTTTCCATCTAGATACCACTACTGTACATTGAAATTTTGTCTATTTCTGTTATATATATATATATATATATATATATATATATGTATGTGTCTGTGTGTGTATTGTATGTGCAAACATACTTGGCAGTAAAGCTCTTTCTGATTCTGATTCTGATTCTCTTTATTTGCCACTATAAATGTATTTGTACTCATGCTTAATACAGTTTTTACTTTCAGATGCGCTTTCTGTTCCTCTCTCACCCTCTTCCTCTGTCACTGTCTCTGTCAGAGGGCCATGCGTGTGAGGAGCCACTCCATGGAGACGATGGTGACTCATAAACACAAGAGTCCTGGAGTGACGGCAGGGGTCCCGTCCAGTGTCAGCGGTGGAGGACTCCAGCAGAACAGCGTGGAGTGCACCAAGAGCACCTTCACTGTACTTCCATTATTCTCTTACTTTCATTTATTCAGATTAAATTCTTATCTCATCCAGTGTATAAACATCCTGAAGTCATTTATTATTATAATAGCGGTGCAGCAGTGCATGAGCTGATCTTTGTGTGTTTGTTTTTGTCAGCCTCCAGTGCTGTCTGCAAAATCTCCATTAATGAGTCCAGTAAAGCGGCGCTCTGGTCTGTTCCCCAGACTGCACTCCAGCACAGAAAGTCCAACTGAGAAACATCCAACTCGCAGGTAAACAAAAATGCCCAATTTTTTTTATACATTTATATACTGTATATATTTTTTTACACACAACAATGTGCAAAAGACTGACTATACACTGCGGGTCTCACCAAGGCTTATTTATTTGATCAAAAATACAGTAAAAATCAAAACAGTAGTATTGTAAAATATTATTACAATTTAAATGTTAAAATAACTTTCAATTTGAATGTATTTTGTATTATAATTTATTTCTGTGATGCAAAAATAGAATTTTCAGCATCATTGCTCCAGTCTTCAGTGTCACACGATCCTTCAGAAATCATTCTAATATGCTGATTTGCTGCTCAAGAAGCATGTCTTTTTATTATCAATGTTAAAAACAGTTTTTGCTGCTTAATATTTTTGTAAAAACCATTATGCGCTACCATTCAAAAGTTTGGGGTTAGTATAATAAAAGAAGAAAGAAATTAATACTTTTATTCAGCAAGGACATATTAAATTGATCAAAAGTGACAGTAGAGCATTTATAATGTTACAAAAAAATTATATTTCAAATAAATGCTGTTCATTGACCTTTCTATTCATCAAAGAATCCTGACAAAAATATTAAGCAGCGAAACTTTTTTAACATTGATAATAATAGAAACCATTATTAATAATTAAGCACCAATAATAACCAAATCAGCATATTAGAATGATTTCTGAAATGTCATGTAGCACTTTTAAGACTTGAGTAATGGCTGCTGAAAATACAGCAATGTTTGTCTGTGAAAGCCTAGTTTGTATGTTAGTATTTCAGAAAAGCACTACATAAACTGTATTCTGTGTTTTTCTAGTGAACAAAAAACAGAAGTGTTACCTCACTCGCAGGAAGTGAGGACAGAGACATCATCCAATCCGAGTTCACCAGAAATCTGCCCAAACAAAGAAAGGTGGGTTTCATTGTGGAGTTCCAGCTCCTCAGGTACAGCAGATGTGAGTGCAGTGTTGGAGTGTTTTGACATCATTTGATGACTCCGATATGTTGTCGGGCTTTATTTTTAAATCCTTTTCCAGCATCTTCACTTTTAGCAATGTATGTGACAGGGTATTCCTGCCTCCTTCATAGTTCTTCAGTAAACAAAAAAACTGTGGATCTCTTTTGTGTAATCTCTGTCCTGTTGGTTTGGTCCTGCAGGCCATTTGTGAAGCTGAAAGAGTGTAGCGGCAGAGCTAATATCTCTATCTCCCGATCCTCCTCCAGCACCAGCAGCTTCAGCAGCACAGCAGGGGAGGGAGACGGACTGGAGGAGCTGGAAATGGTGACACACACTTATACACAGACAAAAGAGTTCTGTTGACCTTTCAGGAGATTCAAGAGTGCACTGCAAAAAACTGTATTTTTGACCTCTTTTCTATTCAAGTATCTCCTTAAACCAAGTACAAGTGACACGGCATAAGATCTTAATATGTAATATATATATATATATATATATAATATATATACATTTATTTATCTATCATAATAGGATACATTTTGTGAAAATATTGTGAAATATTTCTACAATTTAAAAGAATGGTTTTCTGTTTTAATATACTTTAAAATATGATTTATTCCTGTGGTGGAAAAGATGAATTTTCAGCAGCCATCACTCAGTGTCACAGTGTCACGTGAACCTTCAGGAATCATTCTAATATGCTGATTTATCTGCATTGTTGGAAACAGTTGTGCTGCTTAATATTTTTTTTGTAACGTGATACTTTTTTCAGGATTCTTTGATGAATAAAAGTTAAAAAGAACAGCATTTATTCAAAAACAAATCTTTTGTAACAATAAAAGTCTTTACTATCTCTTTTTATCAAGTTATCATATCATTGCTGAATAAAAGTATTAATTTCTTTCAAAAAAAAAAAAAGTACTGACCCCAAACTTTTGAACGGCAGTGTATATTGTTACAAAAGTTTTTTTGTAAAAAGATATATCTTGGTGATGCACACTGCAAAAATATAGATTTTTTTGATTAAGATATGATTAAGAAAATAATTTTTGCAGTGTTTCTTTCTCTAGCAAAGCTCTTGAAATAACTGCCTTAGATAAGCTCACTGTGAAAACAATTCAATTATGCTTCAGTCTCATCTAGAAACTTCCTGTACACAGCTGATTTGCAGATAACCATCACACACTAAATGGCCCTTTGCATTGATCCACTCAGCCTGACACCTGTCGATATGCTTAATTACTGCAGCACAGCTAGTTCTAGGACAATCTATAGCAATCGTATTAACATTACCACTGCAGGTCACTCAGACTGTCTTTTGGTGTGTGTTGTGTCCTGTAGAGCAGTCACCCGTCCACGGCTTCATCTGTGTACAGTCCATCTCTCAGCGTGGAAAGCCAGAACTCCGGAACGCCGCTGATCATGTGCCGCAGTCCCACAGGTGAATTAAGAAATCATACACAATAAAAATAAACTGAAGCAATCATACACTACACAGCCAAAAGTAAGTGGACACTTGAAAACCAGACCCATATGTGCTTGCAGAACTTTTTTGATTTAAATGCAATTGTTATAGTTGAAATAGGGTAGGAACTATTTCATCTATAGCTCATCAGAACACAAGTAAAAATGCTGAAACTTGTTTTATAATTATTGTTAACAAATAAACAACAAGTCTGATTTTCTTGCTGAAATTGTACTGGAGGCCATCCAAGATCTTGATGAGTTTGTTTCTTCATTGGAACAGATTTGGAGAAATTGTCATTACATCACTTATTCACCAATGGTTCCTCTGCAGTGAATGGGTGCCGTCAGAATGAGAGTCCAAACGGCTGATAGAAACATCACAATAATCCACAAGTGATCCACACAACTCCAAAGTCCATCGATTAACATCTTGTGGTGTGAAAAGTTGTTAAGAAGCAAATGCATCACTAATGCGTTTTAACTTTAAACCGTCGCTTCTGGCCAAAATACCAGTCCATAATCCATAATAATGCTTCATACATTGAAAAAGTCCATCCCCTGTTGTCCTCTCACATCAAAATCCACAGACATATTTGTTTAGAACTGTTTTGGACTGTATTTGCTTGTAAACGGTGCTTGATCTATGCATATTTCTCTCCTCATTCAGATGTGACAACTTCTTCACTGGAGAAAGCAATATTATGGATAGAGGACTTGTATTTTATCTGAAAATGACTGTTTGAAGTTAAAAATTAGTTAACAATGGATTTGTTTCTTACAAACATGCAGCTTTTCACTTCACAAGACGTTAATTAATGGATTGGAGTTGTGTGGGTTACTTGTTGATTTTTGTGATGTTTTTATCAGCTGTTTGAACTCTCATTCTGACGGCACCCATT